TTAATAATAAAAATATTAAACGTAAAATATTTAAATTTTTTGAAAAATAAAGTTTTAATTTTATAATCATCTTGAAACATTATTAAGTAGTTTAATCCATTTTTTTAATGATGAAATTGCTCTTCCAATAACATCTTTCACTAAGTTATTATGTTTATGTCCTAATATCACATCTTTTAATATTTTTAGTTGCATTATTATTTCATTCATGATACTTGAGTAATTGTTAATACAAAAAAAAAATAATACTTGGGTAATTAGATCAAACTTATCATAATTTTTTCTTCTTTCTCTAGAAATTAAGGAGTATGAATTAATGGAAGGAGTTATCAATAAAAAATTAATTAAGAATGATAAGTATAATATTTAAAAATAATACTAAAAAATAAAACAAACGAGTCAACCTATCAACCCACAAGTTAACCCTAACCCAACCCGTGACCCATATGTGTTAATAATACAAATTATTTACGAGTTCCAAAAATTAAAATATGTAAACACTAATCTATTTTTTAAGAGCCGAGTTAACGGGTCAAATTAATGGGTCGGATAAATTTTTACCAATCCTACATGCACATATGCAACACTAGAAATATTTTGGTGTTTGTGCCGATTTTGATTACCCTTTTTGATCACCTATCCTTTTTCATAAACCCTAGCCGCGAAGCACGAAGGGAATAGGGGAAAAAAATGCTGTAGGGGAGAGCCATCAGGCGAAAAATCCCTGTATCCTTTTTCTTCCTCACGACCGTTAGCCTTTCTCCAATTTCCCGGCTTCGATTGGTCACCATCTTCGCCGACCATCCTTCCCTTCAATCCATCATCACCGATCACCATCAAGAATGGCTGCAGAGGTCTGAAAAGTCTATATCTCGATCCTTCAGCAACCAGCAGCTGTCTGGAGGAGGCACCATAACTGTTCGGACATATAAAACAGGAGGAATTTTTCGAGTTTGCGGCTAAGAGTCGGAAGAGCAGAGAGCGAAGGAGGGTAGGGGGAAACTGCAGATCTGTGTTTGGCTTCCGATTTGCTTCTGCCTTACGTAACTTTCTAAACAGAGGGGTTTTTGGAGAGGGCAGTGAAGGAGACGAACGGAGCTTGGTCCCGTGGGAGGGATCCCTCCCTTCTGATCCGGATTTGCCTTCAAAAAATTCCGCCCTGGGTGTTTAGGTTTGATGTTCTGTAATAATTTGATGATTTATGCTTGAACTTGTATGAGATTGCTGAGATATGAATGATATTCAGTAAATTGTTATATGTTCCCTTTTGTATTCAGTGATTGATTGTTGGATTTGGAATTAGAATTGTGCAGGCTGTTGAATTCTTGCCTGAAACTGAGTTTTTGGTTAGATGAACCTTAATTTTTTTTAAAAAAATTTTTATACTTGTATGGTTTTGGTCTGTTTTCTCACTTTCGTAAACGGTCTGTGGTTTTCTGGATGCGGTCAACTCGACCTAGCAAGAATCGCTTAATCACTAAAAAATTACAAAAAAATAAAAATAATAAATAATAAATATATTATAATAATTAGTTTAGTGTATCTAGGTAATGGAATTAATTAATTTTAATTAGAATAAATTAATTATATTTATTAGTTTTAATTAAAATAATTAAATTTAGAAATTAATGAATATGATTAATTAATTTTAATTAATT